TTATTTCAATATAAACGTTAAAATTCACAAATTGCTCACAAACTCTGTTATCCACTCCCTCTCCCATTTGTGTTGTCTATTCCCCTCTATGTGTTTCAAATACATTCCCCTATAGTTTTCACCACCCACCCATCCCCCTATTGTATGGTACTGTTGTTAATGAACAGTTTATTTAGCTGAAATAGTATACTTGATGTTTGTTCAATTTCAAATATTAAAAAAATTTAATATTTAATTTGCAGCAAAAAATAATAAATACAAAGGAAAATCATATACAGATTTATTACTGGATATATTTAGACATTTAGTAAATCAAGCCTTACTTAACCCGAGTTTAATGACTAACATTTGGGCGTTCAGTGCGTTAATAACTGCCGCCTGTTTTAGTGGCGGTATTCTGACCACAATAGTGAGGGTTAAACCAAAACTTATTAACTCTATACCCGACATAATGAGTACCGATATGTCTGTATTAATTGGCAACAACTCGGATTTGTGGCACATGTATGACAGAGAAATCGGTAACGATGAACATTTACCAATGGACTCGTTGCTAAAACAAATACAACCTAGAGTTCAGTTTATTGATATTGAGAACATTAAATCGGTTAAGCTAATTAATGGTTACCATGTAAAAATTTAAAAATTATATCATAAATTTAATTTTTAGGTAAATTGGGAGGCAATAAAATTACGACAAGCCGTACTGACCTCTACCGGCAAAACAGTGTATTTTACGAAACATTATTTGAATACAAAATTGGGATTTAATGTAGGGATAGGACGGAGAAAATATTTCTTCACGTATTTATGCCATCCCTTAAACAAAATCACTACAATTACACGCAAACGAGTGTTTAAAATGTAATTTGCTGTTTGAATGTATTTATGGCAGAACTGACCCAGATAAAATAACTAAATACAATTAATATAAATTGATTTCATGTTATTTTATTTTATATTACAGTTTAAAAGCATTGGTCGAAAGGGGACTGACTGTACGATCCGATAGCCGTTGGGACACGAGTTTAGAGTTGGAAAGTGTTAGGGGAGACGACGGGACACATGTCCGTACATCTGACCGCAGGACCGATAGTAGTGTCCGTCCCATTCAATTCCATGCCATACAAGACTTGTTTACCGGTGTTTTGACTTTATTATCCCTGATTGTAGTCGTAATGTTTATTGAAATTATTTGCCATGGTCAATATAGACTTATTTGATTTAGATTTAAATAAGCAATGAGTGAATTAATTAATTAAGTAATCGCAACTATGTTTATTATATTTATATTGTTTAAAATAAACATGTAGCTAAAATTGTTAACACAAAAATATAAATAATTGTTGACAAAAAATTATTATAATCTTGTTAAAGTTTATTTCATAATAATTATTATATTAATTAATTAAATATTTTACAAGTGTTGTTAAATTGTGTTAACTTGTAAGATAAATTACTTGTTTATCGTGCATATAATAGTCAATGCACTTTTAATTATATTTAGATTACTAATCTAAGATTAGATATCAATGTAATTATTTAAAATGTTGAATGTTTATAAAATAATTAATGCTTCGGAATACGATCATCCGATTATTAAAATGATAGACAATGATTTAAGTCACATGCAATGCATTCATAAAAATTACAGTTTCTTAAAAATAATTGCAAAACTATAGTAGTGTCCGTCCCATTCAATTTCATGCCATACAATACTTGTTTACCGGTGTTTTAACTCTATTTTCCCTGACAGTAGTCGTGATGTTTATTGAAATTATTTACTATCGTTAATATATACTTAACTGATTTAGATAATCAATAAATGAGCTAATTTATCAACTAATTGCGACCATGTTTATTATATTTCTACTGTTTAAAATAAACAGTAATTATTTACTGTTAAAAAATATTGGCCTAAATGTATTTAATAAATATTTACATAAGATTTGAAATTTTCACATTCAAATTAAAAATATGATTAATTTTTTCTACAATATAACACATAATAATATTATACTTATAAAGATATAATGAAAAATATTATTTTCATTCACTTTTAATAAACTTTTGATTAAATTCTTTAAAACTATTATTTTAATTAATTGACTTTATTTTAAATATTGGCACAACTTGTCCGAAACACACATATCGTGTGTATTTGTAGTGAGTTTTACATTTTTGTATTGACTGATTGTATGTGTTATAAGTTTGGGTCTTAAATAGGGTGACAATTGGGTCACTTTGATGACCAGTTTATTGTAGGAAAGTGTGTGGAGTATATGTGTAATTGTCGGCAGTGTTTGTGTTTAACATTTTGAGAGTGAAAATAAGGTTAACTTATTTTAAATATAGACTAAAATTCAAATGAATTAATTTCACAAAATAATGAAATATAAATTCTAGGTAAAATTTCATTTTACCTTTACATACTAAATTGCAATTTGTTATACTGCTCAATGGATTACATCAATAACATTAAACATTTTGAAAATATTAACAATTTAGTAACAATTAAAGCAACCAATAAATGAGTCATTTAATATGCAGACTAAACAAAAACTATGAATTAGTTAGAGAATCAGAATTTAACTAAT